ACCAGTTCCGCAGCTGAACACTGTGCGTCAGTTTTGACAGATGTTCGTATTCCCAACATAACTAATGGTAGGAATTCTGTCCACTGATTGGGGTTTGAGTGAGATATAAGGGCGGTTTTTAGCTGACGGTGAAAACGTTCTACCATCCCATTAGCCTGAGGATGATATGCAGTGCAGCGTATCCTATTGGAGCCTAGAAGTTTAGCCAAGTTATTAAATAGTTCGGATTCGAATTGCGCTCCTCTATCCGTCGTTATTGTTATGGGTGTACCAAAAATGGTTACCCAGTTCTGCATGAAAACTTTGGCTACTGTTTCCGCTGTGATGTCCGCTATCGGGATGGCTATAGGGAATCTGGTAAATCGATCTATGCATGTAAAAAGATAATTAAAACCGTTTGAACGTGGTAAAGGACCTACCAAGTCGATATGCACATGGGCAAAACGTGCATCTGGTTGCAAGAAAACACTTATCGGTGAATTTGTGTGACGATTAATCTTTGATTGTTGACATGCTGAACACTCTCTAACCCATTTGTGTACATCCTTCTGTAAATTCGGCCATATATATCTGGCATTGATTAGTTTTGTTGAAGCTTTCGCGCCAGGATGAGACAAAGAATGAAAGTTATTATATATCAACTTTCGCATATTTTTGGGAACGAAAGGTCGCGGCATTGCCTTGGTCGTGTCACAATAAATTAGAATACCATCGATAGGTGATGGGAATTGTTTTAAATTAAGGCTTGAATTGTTTGTTTTAAGTAGGTTTTGCAATTCTAGGTCCTGCTCTTGTTCGTGTCTTAACGTCTCGAAGTTTACTGTAGACTGCTGTAGCACGTTCATTTCTAGTCTGGATAAAGCATCTGCCGCCTGATTGTCCTGACCTTTGACGTGTCGGATATCGCTTGTGAACTGTGATATATAGTCAAGGTGTCGGACTTCTCGAGGTGAGTATTTATCGGCTCTCGCTTTTAATGCATTCGTCAGTGGTTTATGATCCGTAAAGACTATAAATTCCCTACCTTCTAACATGTGTCGGAAGTGTTTAATGGTCAGGTAGATTGCAAGAAGTTCTCGCCCGAAGGTAGAATACCTTGTTTCGGCTGGAGCGAGTCTTGTCGAGAAAAAAGCAATTGGTTTCCAGGCGTTTTTAACCAGTTGGTTAAGGGTACCGCCTACTGCTTTATCTGAAGCATCCACCATCAAAGCAAGTGGGGAAAGAGAATTCGGATATATCAACGTAGTTGCTTGAGCCAGTTTATCTTTAAGCTGTTTAATAGCTTCGATGGCGTCAGAAGACAGTTTGAATCCTTTTGGTTTTCCTTTAAGTGAATCTGTCAAAGGTTGCATTAATTGTGCACAACCTGGTATGAATCTGCGATAGAAGTTAATTAGGCCTAGAAAACTTTTCAGTTGTGTTAGAGAACTAGGTACGGGGTATTGTTTGATAGTATCCACTTCTTTTTTTATAGGTTTAATCCCTTCTGGGCTTATTGTGTGACCGAGAAATTCTAAAGTTTGAACACCGAAAACACACTTACTTTGATGTATGTTTATTCCATGTTCATCCAGTCTTTTCAACACTGCTTGTACATGCTGTTCGTGTGATTGCAAATCGGGGCTGGCAATTAACAAGTCGTCTATATACCCCTGCGCAAATGGCATATCTCGAAGTAGGTTATCTATGAATCTTTGAAATGTCTGTGCCGCATTTCTCAGGCCGAATGGCATGCGTACAAACTCGAATAAGCCAAAGGGTGTAGTAATAGCTGTCTTGGGAATATCTTCATCAGCCACCGGGATATTGTGATATGCCCTGACTAAGTCAATTTTAGTGAATATGTTCATACCCTGTAAACCGTTGGTGAAATCTTGGATATGAGGTATTGGGTACCTATCAGGTACGGTTTGACGGTTTAGGGCTCTGTAATCCCCGCACGGTCGCCAGTCACCTTCATTCTTCTTTGGGACCATATGCAAAGGGGATGCCCATTGACTATCAGAGGGACGGATGATACCCAGTTGTAGCATATAATCAAACTCGGCCCTAGCGATTTTGAGCTTATCTGGTGCTAGTCTCCTGGGTTTTGCAAACACCGATGCACCTTCGGTTTTGATAGTGTGACTCACTTTTAGTTTGTCTTTAGAAGGCTGTGGGTTTGGTTTAGTTAAGTTTGGAAATTCCGCGAGTATATCTTGGAGTTTCGCTGTTGTTACTGGGGGAGTTTGAATCAAGTTAAGAGAGTTGATGTGACTTTCTTTGCCTTTTGTGTAATACGAAGTTTCTTTTAGTGTTAATCGCCGTTTCTTGGTGTCAACTAGAAATTCGTATCTCTCTAGAAAGTTCATCCCCAGTATTGCCAGATCTAGGTCGGCTACCGTGAAAACCCAAGGGAATTGCCTCCTGAACCCCAAATCTAGGGTTAAAGTTTTCTGCCCAAATGTCGCAATTTTAGTTTTATTTGCAGCTTGAAGTGTAATTGATGATGTTTCTCGACTAATCTCAGTTTTATTTCGAGGGATGATGCTAAGAGCAGCGCCAGTATCCACCAAGAAATTCAAGCCCGAGTTTCTGTCTCTAACATAAAACAAGCGAGGCTGACCCAGATGTTGCTTGGAAGGGCGTACAATCAGCTGTGGAAACAGCAGTGACATCTATTAGTGACTTAAACCACAGAGTTGCAAGGAACCAGTGGATTTCTTCAAGGTCTGTCACACTGATGGATTCTTGCAAACTCGTCCCATCAGGTTCCGAACATGATGAAGAGCGACAACAAATCAGATCTAGGTTAAGAAAAAGTCTAAGAAACGACCGTGAGCAGTGGTGGGCAACGGAAGCAAAAGAGATGGAAAAGACGGCGACTATAGGGAACACAAGACAGCTTTATAGACTAATAAAATAAACTGGAACTAATAAATCAAGTGTAAGTGAGATTATTTCGGAAAAAGACGATACTCTCATCTGCTCCCAATCCAGACGTTTAGAACGATGGGCGGGACATTTCAGAGAACAGTTCAACTGACCTTCAGCTACTCTACAACTACCCTCCATTCCCAGACAATGTGAATGGAACATTGAAGTAGGTCCCCCAACTCTTGCTGAAGTTCAAAAGGCTATAGTTAATCTGAAACGAGGAAGGGCAGCTGGTCCAGACGGATTAGTTCCAGAGGTCTTTAAGGATGGTGGCCCAATTTTAGCGATTACGTTGACTAATATTTTAGCTAAAATCTGGGAATTAGACTTTATCCCATCTGACTGGTCGCAATCACTTATTGTCCCAATATATAAGAAAGAGTCAAAATCATCCTGTGACAACCACATAGGGATTAGTTTAACTAATATAGTATCTAAAATACTAGCCTCGATAATTATCAGACGCCTAACTAAGACTCGTGAACTGCAAACACGAGAGAACCAAGCTGGCTTCAGATCTGGTCGAGGCTGCATCGACCACATATTTACCATTCGTCAGTTTATAGAACACAGGCATACCTAACGGCATCCGACAATGGCGGTCTTTTTTGACTTAAAAGCAGCATTTGACTCTGTAGACAGCGAGATTCTGTGGCAAAGTCTGTCATTGAAAGGCGTACCTCAGAAATACATAAACCTTGTGAAGACTCTTTACTCGAACACTACTAGTCGAGTCAGAGCTTATGGCGAACTGTCATCTACTTTTGCAACCTCAAGTGGTGTCCGTCAAGGCTGTCCACTTTCTCCATTTCTGTTTAAATTCATCATCGACCTACTGATGAAAATAACGTTTTTGTCGACTGAATTTTCGGGCGTTGATCTCCTTCCAGGAGATTCACTTATCGACTTAGAATACGCAGATGACATAGTCCTGTTTGGTGAAGACGCTGACAAAATGCAGTCTTTTGGCAGCACTAAGCAACAATGCCAGAATGTTTGGAATGCGCTTCTCTCGCTCTAAATGCAAGTTGTTGCTTCAGGACTGGTCTGGGTCAACACCTGAACTAAGGATAGGGAGTGAAGTAGTCGAACGCGTTGACAACTTCACTTATCTTGGAAGTCTGATCAGCCCTAATGGGTTGGTGTCTGACGAAATCTCAGCACGGATTCGAAAAGCTCGTTTGGCTTTTGCCAACTTACGTCACCTTTGGCGGAGGCGAGATATCCGTCTATCAATAAAAGGACGAGTATACTGCGCGGCAGTTCGTTCTGTTTTACTTTACGGCAGCGAAACATGGCCATTAAGAGTAGAAGATACTCACTCGTAAGCTACTAGTATTTGACCACAGATGCCTTAGAAATATTGCTGGCGTCTGCTGGGATCACCGGGTAAGTAATAGTGAGGTTAGACGCAGGGTATTTGGGAATGATCGTAAATCAGTTGATGAGGTTTTTAATCTTCATCGACTGAGATGGTTGAGCCACATGTTACGTATGCCTGAACACCGATTACCACGACGTGCAATGCTAACCGGTGTTGGAGATGGTTGGAAGAAAGTTGGGGGCGGCCAAACTAAAACGTGGCATCAATGCTTGAAGTCACTAACTTCTAGTCTGAGCCATGTTGGTAGATGCAGACTACTTGGTTGGGGTCCGCGTGACTTTCGTAACCAATGGTTGGAGACTCTTGGTGACATGGCTCAGAATCGATCACAATGGCGTAGGTGTGTACACTCCCTGTCTTCCCTTAAACTAAGAGATTAAAATCACTTCATACCTTTCCTTCTACTAACTAATTCTTCCTTCATATACTATATCCTTATATGCAATCTTTCTCCTATATATTACCACCTTTGACCTAACCACTACTATGAATCCGGTGTTCATCTTGCTGTGCTAATGAGGTATGGCAACCTGGACCGATGTACATATGTGCCTGGTCCTATGTTGTAGCTGACTGACTGACTGACTGAAAACATTTACATAACAAAATAAAGTTAGAGCAGTCAGAAATCCCAGTAACTCGTATATACAAGGCAATACGTACAAAAATTAGTACATTGTTGAAGCAGTAGTCAAAATTATTTTCAATCACAGAACATTTATATTTTCAAACATTTCAATTTTCAATTAACAATATAATTACGTAGTGAATAATCTAAAATGTGGATACAAATTAGAATACATTTGAAAAATTTCAACATAGATATATCAGAAAAAATTTCAATAAGTGATTTAGACATATAACAAGAAGTACAATAATTCAAAAAAAATCAAATTTAGTGTAAATGAACGTTTAAGATAACTGACAGGCCAAACACTAGAAGAAATATCATCACAGAAGAAGAAATTTACAGAGCATATAAAATCCAAAGCAACCACTGTATCTAAGAGGTAACTGAAATTTTTTTAGTTGTACGATCAGAATTATTGATAACTCTAAAGTTACAGCTCCTTCCCAAGTTTTCCCAACTAAAAAACCAAGATAAAGACGAGAAGTAGTTTATTTGTTAGGACACATCACAAGTGGTGAAGATTTGTAGCTCAGCTGGGTGATTTTGATGGGGTATTGTTCTCTGAGCTGGATGAATGGTGAAAGTTCCACGACCAAACCATCCAGCTCAGAGAACAAAACTCCATCAAAAACACATCACAAGTTGACAAATTCAACCTAACAAATTGTTTACCAGGATACACTACAATGCAATTTATATTTGGTTCAGGTGATTTCAAAGAGGAACAGGTTATAAATATAAAACTTTGATACGTTTGCATTACAATCTTAAACTTTAATTATTGAAAGGATTTCTAAATAAATAGGATGAATCTAGCAAACAATGTTTCCTGATTACAACACAATATTAGGTAACATAAACTGATTATCATTTATAAGCAAAGATGGATAGTGGCTAGCAGTGGAATCCAGGACGAGCGTTTCGTCTTGTTTGGGACTCGTCAGCTGGATGTACCTGCATCTCAGAGTTGATGTTCACTCTGGGACTCGAACTCAGTACCGTTCGCTTCAAATGCCATCGCGTTGTCGAATTAGCTACTGAGTCCTGATAGCCACTTGCTTGTGCAATGGGGTGAAGTTTAATTCACTTGATATTGTTTTACTTGAATCTTCTCATTGATGTTTCAGGACTGAAATTGACAAGTACTGAGTTCGAGTCCCAAACAGGATGAAACGCACGTCCTGGATCCCACTGCTAGCCACTATCCATCTTTGCTTATAATGATTGTAAATTAAGGCAATATCGAGGCATACGCACAGTATGCACATATACCAATAATAGACTGATGAATTTCAGTCCTAAAACATCAATGGGAAGATTCAGGTAAAACAATATCAAGTGATTATCATTTAGTTAGATTTTCGGGTGTTTTTCAACACTGCTATTTCGGAAACTAGGAGAAAGGACCAGTGTAATCAGAAACTAAAACAGTGCATTTCTTAAAGAATCATAATAATTTTGAAACTAATGAAGTAAACCACTGCGAAACTATGGTAGATATATATTGCTTACATACTGTATATGTGTAAACTTCATCAATATATCAAGGAAACTACTGTATGTTAGTTGACCTTTGAACAACGTAAGAAAACTTCATAGATGCAGGTAATTAGTAATTTTTTTAAGTTGATTGACCTAAGTCCATAGACGAACGGACTTAAGCCAAAATCAAGAAACAATCCACAAGATTACGAAAGTTGCACTCAAAAGGAACTCACTTCTAATAAAAATTCACTCGGACTAACAAGATCACTACAGCCATAAGTAATATGTTTGGAATAAGCTGTACTAATATTAGGAGCGCTGGATGAGTCATGACCTCCTGAGCCAGGGCGACTGTTTATCCCATTAACAGAATTTGTTAATGATGTTGACGAAGTGCTAGATGTGCCAGATGTAGTGGAACAAGTTGATTTGACCCAATCTAACAGATTTTGGTACTCAACATAACTTCCGCCACCAACGACAAAGACAAAAGCTTCATCGAAAGCATGTTTGACACGAGGCATATTACTAAGACAAATAAAAAAAATAATCTTTACGAAGTGATCTAAATGTATTTACTCACGTTCTTTAGCAAACACTGATCTAACCATAGTAATATTTAGGAATATGCAACTCAGATCAGTGACTGACGAATCACAAACTAAAGGAGGACGACTAACAGTGATTGCTCACACTTTTAGATATTGCATTAAAAAAATAATTACTAAGATTAAGTCTTAGAATTTAATTCTAAACATTTAGTGCTTTATCTCTGTTACATGCCTCACTGTCTTTTCAAAGACAGACTATATACGGAGATTTTAGCTTTAGGCGATTACTGTTATAGCACCTCTCCTACAATTAAGTTTGTTTACGGTTGATTGTGTCAAGCCCTTTTATTAAATTAATTAACAGACACAGTTGTTCGAACGGTAACGATTTGTATATTTCTTTGTACTATTATGATCACTATCATGTCTGTATAAACGTGTATGCTTGATCCCATGAGAAAGCCTACGTACATATCTCTCTCTAGCTTAAATGTTAGTCGCTTAAATATCGCTCGATGAATCATTCGCTTTCCCATATATATATGCATACTTGAATCACATTAATTGATACGATCAGATTCGACTCAGAATACGCCTCTGTACTCGCTTGCTCGCGCGCATTAGCTTTGTGCTCAAATTCGCTTGGCGTGCTTGTAACTTTGTTATCTGCGCAATCCAATAGTAGTTAGTGCTTCGTGCTACGTGCCAAATTTATACACCATTGGGATTTATTTAATAATGGTTATCAGGGTGATTGATAAACGAAGCCTAAGGAATTATCTCGAAGCCGAGCCACACTACATTCTGTCCTTTTGAAATGCGAATTCTTAATTAGAAAGTGCTATTATACTATCTAATGATGAGAAATATAATGTATTAAACCCAGGTTGAACGCGTAATTTGATTTTTAACTGAACTTATTAGTATAACCATATTTATATAAGATATTGGTCCCTAGGATGGTTTGTAAGTTAAGTGTGTTTTATACTTCAGTCTACATAATGATACTTAAACAAGTCAACCATTATTTTATAAAATAAAAATGTGATAGCTTCTAAAACAGGAAACAACATTAACTTTCCAAATGATCTTTTATATATGAGCTCGGAGGTGGCAAATTATTTCCAAATGCCCTGTTGAAACTGAAGGTGACAGAAATTATCTGTTTGACAAGAACTACTTTCACACGACGGTGTATTTATGGGGTGTGGAAATTTTGCTCATTGCCTTTCTGTAGAAACGGAATTTTAGAGCTAAAACTTACTGAGAATGGAAGGTTCATTTACGGAAGTTGAGAAAATTTAAGTGCAAACAAATGTTGCCCATTACTTCGAGATGAAAAGTGACATTACTTAGATTACCGGCAACCAAGTTACTGTAATGCCTTCTGGACTAGAAGTGAAGATCAATAGTTGGCAAGTATCACTGTAAAGAAACTATCTGAGTTAGTTTAGTCGCCAATGCAGTATGTCACTTCTGACAAAAACTGATTTATAATGCAGTTTATTTTTGAGCTCTTCTCATGCTAAGCATTTCTGTTTCAATAAATAATTATTTACTTGTTCATAGAAACATCTTCAAAATAATAATACTTAAATTCTAATCAAGTTTACTGTATTGATACTATGTCAATTGTCTGTTTGACAGAAAAGAAGTAGTCAAATAAATTAATCATTATAGAAAGTACCAATAAAGCGGTAATTACGAAAGATTTTGAACAAAAACAGACGATTGTCCAAATTATATATATATATACTTTAAAAGCATGTACAAAACTTATCAAACTTAAATCTACTGTGAATGCGTACATAAATTAGAAGTGCGGCACGAGTACGTAATTAAGCAATTCCTGTTGCATTATTCGTTTACTAATCAACCGTTTATATTTAAAATAGGGATCCAGTGGGTGATAATTAGATGTCTAGAAAATTCCGTTACGACTCTGCTGTCACATGTGTAACATAAACACATGTAAGGTTGTAAACTGAAAATAATTTGACGAGACTATGATTTATGGACGAATCAATCAGGTATAAGATAACAGGTTTCGGACTACGGAGCGAAATTCACTCATTCATTTGGCTAGATAGAGTTTTGGTATTATAGCTAATGTCAGCTCGTGATGAAAACCCTAAATCTAATTCCTAACACTAACCATCGACTGTAAATCATATTTTGGTGGAGTTTTGTTCTCTGAGCTGGACGGTTTGGTCGTGGAGCTTTCATCGTTCTTCTGAACAACATCATTCACCTGAGCTACAAATCTTCTCCACCACTGTAAATCATAATTCGAACTCCTCACACTAATTTATAACCCTCATTTGGTCCTGGTTATTAAGTGGACATTCCTTAAGGTCACTTTAGCGTCGCTCAAAAGTTGTCATAAATTATAGTCTCGACAACGATTTTTGTTAAGTAATAAACTGAATCTCTACAGAGGACATCAGTTTATATTAACGTCTATCGATTAAAAGGTTATTATTATTAGAGAGCAAATTTTTCAATCAGAAGTGAACAACAGTAAACGAAATCATTATTTTAAGCAGACCACTAAGGGAAGTGTAGCTTTCAAGGTAAAAAAAACTCGGTTATACACTAAGTAATTCAAGCGACGAAAAAAACTGATGAACATAAATCGAATTAACTTACGAATCTTGACGCCTGTACAGTTTCGGATCAAAATAGCGATAGTCTTCAAATTCAGAACCAGCTTTATTTTCCATTAACTGAGATACGATGCGAGTAAACGGGAGGTACTGAAAATAAGTAAAAAAAATAACTACTCAAATATACATATAAACATCCGTACACAGAAATCAGAAAATAAATCAATTCTCATACGTAATTCTGTTAAAACAGAGTAATAAAAATAACTGAACATTGTAATGGTCACTAAATTTATTAGAACAAAATGTAGATAAATAATTCCAGTCAAATATTGTTACAATAGGCATGAAGGAAAGCATGGAGAGAAATAAAAAGTATGGATAGATATACTGCAAAGAGAACAAAATCACTATCAACAGCATTTTAACTGACATGTGACATTACACGGTTATAGAGATGACTGGTCATTACAAGAGTACCTACTGTCTTGAAAAACATCACTGTAACAAAATTGTTGTATAAATAATTGGTATATGATATTATTATTTAAAACAATTAAAAAGTCAACCATACTAGAAAATAGAAAAACTGGGTGTGGTTTTTGACTTACGACTAGGTAGCGGATAAAAGAATTTAACGGATCTTAATAATAAACACGATTTTGAGGAATTTTCGGCGAGACTAATTTAAGGACGACCTTTGAACGAATCTTAGGTGACCTTGACAATTATTAGCCAATCAGAAGAAAGTTAGTATAAAGTGAAAATATATTATATGAAAGTAATGAATTACAGTGGATATTCTTTTTTTACATGATTTAAAAACTTGTTAAGGTTTGGTTAAGGTTCAGAGTTTCTGAATTCACAATGCATATGGAATAGAAACTCGTTAGGGTTAGGGTTAGTTGAGGGTTAAAGTTTAGGGTTAGGTGAGGGTTAAGGGTTAGGGTGAGAGTTAGGTGAGGGTTAAGGTTAGGGTGAGGTGAGGGTTTAGGGTTAGTTGAGGGTTAAGGTTTAGGGTTAGGGTTAGGATGCTAACATACGAGTTTTTAAATCATATCAAAGAAGAATATCCACTGTAATTTATTACTTTCTTTTAATATATTTTTACTTTATGCTGTCTTCTGATTGACTAATAATTGAAATTGCTCAAACGCTTCTGATTGGCTCGTCCCTAAATTAGAGTCTCGCCGTCCTATCTGTTGTAACCTCTCATTAATCACCTACTCTCTAAAATCCGCTGTGAACCGACCGTATGTTAGCAGCGCGTGTTGAATTTGGCTCCGTGACCTTGAAATTGCTCAAACGCTTCTGATTGGCTCGTCCCTAAATTAGAGTCTCGCCGAATTTTCTACAGAAATATGTAACATGCATGGGGTATAAACCAAGGTACATAACTTACAACTGTTAGGGTTACACGGATAAACAACGCTTCACTAGTTTTAACATAACTAACTGGATGGTATTCGCGCACTCTTAAATAGTAAGCCTGGTTTAAAAGTGTGAGAGTAGGCTATCGTCACTAACACAGAAATATAAAGTGGATAGGATCAACAAGAAACTTTGGCTGAAAATTTTTTTTATTGAAAGGAGTAGAACCTTTGAAGTAAATTATTTATAACTATCAATAAAGTATAGTCAGTTAGCCAGTCATATGCAACGACATATATGGATCGACTCAAGTTGCCACACTACAACAGAACAGCAAGAAAAAATTAACAAAAAAATCTCAGAATAGTAGAAGTTGTAACAGTATCAGTAGTCGTAGGAAATATTAGGTATAAAAAAACAGAAGAGTGTTGAGAGATTTCGGCACTCATGTTATAAAGGAAGACAAAGAGTAAATACACCTGAGCCGTTGTGAATGACTGTGCCATTTCACTCGAAATCTCTAACAGTTGATTACAATAACCGAGCGGAGGGAACAAAGGATAAATATAACAAACTACAAAACATTGTAAAAAAGAGACTTAAACCAAGAAGTATTTTATCAAGGTTAAGTGGACACTAATCGAATTAGTCGATGTCAGCTTATAACGGTAACCTATTGAAAACTAACAAAAACTATAGTAAACATAGACTACAGATATTCGACTTACAGATTTCTGACCAATCAAATGTCTCATCCCAGTCAGCAATATAGCTGAACCATGTGAAACAATTTTATTAAGTACACTTCGACTACCAGCTCCTTTAACATTCTCCATTATATTATCAGCTAGTTGACCAGCTTTTGGAATTTTCCTATTTAATTACAGAATAGAATTTGCTTAAAAGATTCAAAATAAATGTTATTTGAGAGAATTCAGTTATCAAGACGAAATACTAAGATAGGCGCAACTTTTGACTTAATACTATATAGTGATTATTCAATCAAATAATAGCAAATGATTTAAACTTGTATGCTGATATGTTTCATCTTCTCAGGAAAATGTACTTTGAATAACACTAGTACTTATGTCTATGATTAAATCAATTTTCAAATTAAATTATTATTTATCACGATCAGTTTATTAAAACATAAATAATTTATTAAAAGTGGGAAATCTTTGAGAAATTAACTCAAAGACTAATGAGCCGTTTATTTTTGTTATATTCTAACGAAGATTAAATTATGGGTAACTTCTGATAACTATTTATAGACTGCTATTATATATACTCTAATTGAATAACTGCTAAATAACTAGATTATATATATTTATATTCACTTTATCATAAGCTTTTATTTGACTTATTGGCTACTATCATACGATATATTATTCTTAAGTTATTCGCAATTTATTAGTAACAGTCTTACAATCACAGCCACTTTTTGGCTTGATCTAGTATAATTATTATTTCCCATTTTTAGTATGAAGTGGTCCGGTTTGTTTGTAAATAAACCAGTTATGATTTCAGGAAATGACATCACATTGTATATTCACCTAGAACCCACTTTAATTTCGGTATATGTATGGTTAATTGTAAGTTTGACAGTCTTCACAAGTGGGAATGGTGTAAGATAAAATAAATTATGTATATAACCAATTAATAGGCCTCTGTACGAATTATCATTTTCATATATAATTTATAAAAAAACAGAATTGTAACAAATTGCACACAAATAGTCCCACAAAAACACAACTTACCTAAAGTGTTGAATATAATTCACAGGACTCATATCAAGATTAGGATAGGAGTTTTGTAACAGTGTTTTCAAACGATCAACTTCTGTATCGGATAAACAAAAATCAATACCACTAGTGTTTGAATTGAAATTATTTAATGCACTTCCAGATCCACTGGCAATCATATTATTTGATGTATTACTAGTGTTTGTACCAGTTCTACTGGTACCCGCTAAAGCAGCAATAATAAGCAAGCGTAATTTATCTTCAGGTGTACCAATTGACGGATTACTAATTAGCTCGATTAAACTTTGTTCCTTTTAAAAATGTTGGGGAAAGAAGTAAACGGATAATTAACGTACTCATGAGTAATTAAAATTTACATTCGAAGAAATAAACAAAAAAAACATTGCGATTAGAAACCAGCCTGAATTAGACGTCCATTGAAAACCAAGAAGCAATGGACAGACGTTTCATCTTAGCATGGGACTCATCAGCAACGTGCATCCAAGACTCTTTCGGTGATCCAATCGAGGACCTTCGTCTCGCTGTGAACGTTTAACCTTTCGACTAGTGAAAAAATTCCAATGGTTAACTTTAATTGATTCACAATACTTTCGATGGGTAACTGCCTCACACTCCACACGAATGAATATTACTAATCACGAGATCTCAACTAAATTTCGGAAGTTCCATGTTAGAACGAAACAAAGGTCCAGTGGTCTATAGTTCCAATGGTTGTCTAACTTAGGGTAGATTTGTGTTTTCAAAAACATTCAACAATTTCTACAAAGCTCTAGACCGCAGATAAAAAATACTCAAATGATGAATTAATGAGGATGTAAAAATAGCAATAGTAACAAAAAGTCAGTAAATTGATTTGGCTAACTGGTATAATCTCAAATATTGATACTGATAGCGGACAATTCCAATCAAAAACGTCAACACTGGATGAAAATCTGGTAAATTAATGTCAGTAAGAAGATAAATGTCTCAGAATTCGACTATAAGCACGAAAAGTTTGACTGCAGACCCTTTAACTAGCTTCAAAGATCTTTGATTTATCATTAAAATGGGATGATTTTCAAACTTGGAAAATACATTGGCGAAATTTACGTTTCGGTAATAATTAGAAGAGAGAATTTTGCACTCCTTTACGAACAGCATCACATAAAGCCATATAGATCTATCAAATAAATTTACACTTGACCCTTTTGATAAAGTGTAAGTAAATCGAAATATTTGGGTGCCGAAGACAAAATAGCCTGTCATAGCTTGACAAATCGTCTCATATCCAGCAAGGTATTCATTGCACCAGCTATTAAACATCACTGAACACATTAATGACAGATACAAATACAAAACTACTATTTTAGTAACACGATTGAATGCACAAAACATACCGTGGATGGATTGTTTTTAGAAAGAAGATGGTCTTCTTCTTCAGCAAAAGAATGTATCTGCCTATCTTTGATTACATTAGCTAGACAAGTTGCAATATTTGTGTGCATGTCAAGACATCGTTTACGTTCCATTAATTGGGGTAAAGAACTAAGAAAACCAAGATAGTAAGAACAATATTTAAATAAAAAGAATTCTTGGGATAAGTAAGAAATAGTTCGGATGCAACGAATCTATCTTAATCACAATCACACGACCTAATGAAAATATTAGATCAACTGAGTTTGCTATAGAAAAACTGTATTTGTTACGAAGTGTTACCAATTCACCAAATTGGATCACTCTTACTGTTATGTCCCTAACTTATACGATTACCCCGAATACGATTGCCAAATTTAGACACGTCGACTTATACGACCAACAAATGACGCATACACTTGAACGAACAGCCTGGAGTCCCGACTGGTACATTTCCCTGCCTGTTAAGTCCATGTTATCCCGATAAGAATAATGAATGGTAACTTTAGGATCCATTTATGGACCAAGACTATGAGTATATTTTTACCGTATAATTGTTAAATAACTAAACTGTTCATATTCATATCCCTCTTATTATGAGTTTTATTTTGACTTATGAACTATTATTTTACGATTTACCATTCTTGAATTATGTCCTGTCTGTTAATCACTACCTCCCTCATTCACAGCCACATTTGGCCGAATCCTGTACAAATATTGTTTTCTATTTTATGGTACGTTGTGGTCTGTTTGATTGGTATATAAGCCCCGTATGTTTGAAATAAATGATTCATATCGCAGAGGCTGGGATTCGTGTTCTGCACTCAACTGGCTGGGCCAAGCGAAAAGCAGGACCAGTCAGGACTCTAGGCAGCTCGTACGTGCTTCATGCGTCATTGGTTCGATCGATAATTCTCTGCTCTCTGATTGGCGGTATCGTTGCGTTATACAATAAACAGGGCACACAGGTTCATAAGTTATAACAGTTCAAAACACAAATCTCAGTTTCCGAGATATCATATATTTCAAACATACTGGGTTTGTATATAAGCCAAACAGAAAATATCACACCATAAAATAGGAAATAACATTTGTACAAGATCTAGCCAAAAGTGGCTGTGATTGTAATTAATAAACTGGGCATAACTTAGTCATGGTAGATCGTATAATAATAGTCTGTAGGTCAAAATAAAGCTTATAAGAGGAATACGAATATACATAGTTTAGTTACTTAGGAATTATACGATAAAAATATATGTATAGTACTAGTCTATAAATAGATCCCATTCATTATTCTCGTCGGGATATAACACGGTATTAGATTAAAGAACTAAGAGATGAAGTTATTTGTTCGTACTTTTTTATTACAGTTGAAAGGGATATGTATTTTGAGAAGTAGTTACAACAATAGTTCTGTGGTAGATGTATCGACGAAATTCTACTTTCACACCACTACAATCTTATTTTATTGGAACATTAAGTTATAAGTATACATAACTAACGACTTAGTATCTTCTTAAATGAGATAATAATGGTTAATTTGCCCAGGAATTTCAACAGACCATCTATTCCTTTTTTAAAAAGACATAATAATAGTTAAACACTAATAGGGTGAAATTGTTGATTTATGCTGATCAAACATCGGGTAATTATTCTATAAATTGATCTAAAGAAAACAGCCTACAAAATAAACAAAAAATGCGCACTGCTGAGGAGTCCCATACTAATGCGAAACGACCATCCAGTGATTCGCGGTTTTCAATGGTGGTCTAGCTCAGACTGACTCATGAACTCAACTATTAAAAATACAAATACATAGACAGTTGTCAATGTATTTGTGTTAGCGGGACATAGACTAGATAAAAGCAAGCTCAATGCACGATTGCTTTGGTGCACACTGATTGGCTAATTCTTACCCAATCAGCACTAGTCGATAGTTGGAGAATACTTTAGAATCTTCTCATGTAAAAACTATAAATATACTGACGTATTCTCTATCGTGCTTCTGACTTGCTTCTTACTTCCATCTAACCTTGTTATTTGGAATATAATCTCTTTCCTGTTCAACCGTGTTTTGATTTGGGGACTTGTCGAGTGAATCGATGTCCGAGAATACTAAGCAATAGGAATAGCTGGGTCATAACCGTAAGAAAAGAGATTTATAACAATTTGTATAAAACTATTGGAGACAATGAAATACTATTAGTAAATGATAGAAACTAAGTATTATTCTCCAACACACTGAAATTTGTAACATTATTAGAATTCATGACAAAAAGAAGTATTGAGTGAATCGTTTTGTTTTTGCTCTATAATTAGTTAAGCTGGTTAAATTCATTAGTCATCATTTTTTTCCAGTTAACAAGTAATTTAGACCTTAAATAGCTCAATTCAATTTCAATGAAAATTTTTTAAAACACAAATCAAATATTATGAGAAGGGGTTTTGTGGAGATTTTAGAGATTTCAGTGGTTAAAATCATGATTCGATTGAGTCGATCTCCGTTCAGATTATTGAAATGAGTACTGATAGTCAGTTTTTTAAATTATGTTTGTATATTGTTGAAAAATTAGGCAAAAAGGTTAAGTGAAATGATTTGCCTATATAAGTCAAAAACATATAGCACAAGCTTTTAATCTAGGAAATACTTAACCATTTAAAGCAATAAAAAAATAAGCAGGATATTTAGTATTTTAAGGAAGGTAACTAACTTGATAGCATTTGTTAATTTAGCTGTACTATCATCTAGAAACGTCATTGTTGATGAAGTTGCCAGCATATTTATATCTGTTGAACCACCAAGTGATGACTTCAATTCACTCATACGTCTATCATAATCTTTTAGTATTGTCACTTCTTCATGTATAGCTTCCGCAACATCAGAAAATGCAGCACCTCTAAAATCTCTCCATATACGATCACATGATCCTGTTAAATCATACTCAACTATTTTAGAATTTGATGTTTTACTATTATTTTCTGGTATCCTGGATTTTTCATTATCTGAGATAGGCTTAGCCAAATCTAAATTCACATGAACACGATTGAGACGAATATTCTTCAAGAAAAAAATAATAAACTATGATTAGATGCAATTTATATATAAATCAGGTAAACTGAGTGCAGTTGACCACTTATCATAATTGATTTAAACAAGTGAGCTAGGGAAAGACGACAGTTGTCAGATTATACTACAGAAAAAATTTCTTTTAAAGAAGTATGCGATGTCGATGTAGGGTTGGTAACCAGAGAATAACGTTTTAAAATTAAGCATTATTCTGCTCCACGATAACACAAATAAATTGAATCACTCTGATGATTGTAAATTATAAGTTGGTTAAATTCTTTGAGTTAAACACGTGCAAAGTACTTCTTATGTAGTGCAAGTAAAAAAGAGGATAGAATTCGTATGCACTGTGTTCAAAGAGCATTTTGCTGATCACAGTAGTTGCAATATAACAAAAATTAAAAGATACATCACAACCTTAGTTTGCATGACGCTACGTTGATAATTGTCTATCCTCTGTGTTGGGGTGCCTAACCTCGTTACATTTTCCTCATATAAAAGATCTGGAAGCTTTTTTGGACCCACATAGGATTATTACTAAGTGTAATAAATTTACAATATTAGCTTTGACAGTTTGATCACCTTTTATAATTATCCTTTAAAATTAAAAGGTACAATGAGTGATATTTACAGTTCGAGAGACTGGATCAAAAAACTTGGCAAACAAATATTTTATCTATGTGAACACATAAACATTGGTACAAGGAGGCACCAAATATATATGCGCCGCACAGTTATCGTTGATTTGTGTGAAGGCTGTGATACTGTCCGGGTGCCTAAACCGAAGTGGGTGGTTTTCTTAGAGGGCCACACCCCGAGCCTTTGACCTAAAGGTCTAATCCATAAGGCAGTGGAGCAACTTAAGGACATACAGTCCCATGGTGCCGGTGACCAACAATAGGTTCGTACGCCTTCTTCTCCCCCAGTCCTGGAAACTGTGTGCACCAATGGTTTGAAATCAGGGCTTTCCAACTCCTCTATTTGGATCCTCTATGTCCAAACAAGTAGTTTCTAATGAGGTGAATTAGCATTGAAGATGTTTCAACCTCAGGTTACCATTTGCTGATGCATCACTCATACCTCTAGGCGCACATAAAGATATGACACAGTAAACCGAAACTGCCAGATAAGGTTTAGGTGTAAAATAAGCCTACAGAATTGCATCTAAACAGCAAACGTTACTGAAGCAGCTCCTCTATTTACTAATATCTGGTCATTGGTATCGTATTTTTGTGTTTATTACTCCAATGTGAATGTCTGCCTCATATTTTAATGAATTTAATGTTATACTGCTTAAAGGATTTACTTAGTAAAATTATACTATTTTTACACAGTTATCCTATATTTTATAGGTCAAATGAACAAAAGTCTAAAGTTTTTTTGAATTGCGAATATTAGTTTGTGGATTCAGGTCATCGGACCAGAGGAGATTAGGATCAATGACTTATTTGTACATACGATTTCTACATAAAGTGAGATAATTTAAACACATTGATTGCTTGCGTGCTTTAGAACCCAATAAACTACCACTTCAGTACGCTGGCTACAATAGATATTTGTAGAGTAAATGAAAATTCAACAGGTACACATATTTTGTTTCAAACAATTATAGGATTGATTCACTAGATATTGTTTTATTTGAATCTTCCCATTGATGTTTTTGGACTGAAATTGATCAGTCTCTTATTGGCATATGTGCATACTGTGCGTATGCCTCGATATTGCCTTAATTTACAAGCATTGTAAGCAAAGGTGGATAGTGGCTAGCAGTGGAATCCAGGACGCGCGTTTCGTAGCTAAGTGGATAACGCGATGGCGTTTGAAGCGAACGGTACTGAGTTCGAGTCCCAGAGTGAACATCAACTCTGAGATGCAGGTACATCCAGCTGACGAGTCCCAAACAGGACGAAACGCGCGTCCTGGATTCCACTGCTAGCCACTATCCATCTTTGCTTACAATTATAGGATTAAATATAGCACGGTTCATTTTACTATCTCCTTCTAGAAAAGAATGGCATCTGTGTTTAGATTTCACTTTCTTTTGTATAGTGTGGAGAGTGTATGAGCTTGGTCAGTTTAGAAAATGAACCATTCTACGAAATCCACCATACAGCTAGTTCAGGTGGAAATATTTATCATAATGGAAACAATTACGAAAAGTCACCTACCTTACAATAAACTTCCTTTAATATGCCTCTAAATAAAGTACGTACTAATAAAAATAACTCAAATGACTCATTAATGTATAATGAATTATCTCTGTCCATGATTTGAGACAAGTATAAATCAAATAATTTATGGCTTACAAAGATATCATGGATTAAACTTTGGTAGGACAACTCGTGGTGTAGTGGAGAGGCCAAATCTAAACTACGATCTAAAATAATCAACAGTGGACGCTGAAATAAGTTTGGTGGTGAGTTCATTTGAGAGTTCCTGTTTAAAAGACTGAGTGGTGATGAAGAGTTCAATCCTAGACGTTCTCCAGACGAATCGTCATTTGCAGTAATACCATAACCGCGTGCTGTATTATTCATAAAAAGTGAATTCCTAGAATCTCGAAGGCTGTCACGAAATTTCGAATCCAGCTGGCATGCTACCATTTCAGAAGCATTACCACGAGGACAACGTATAATAGGTATTGAGCCAAGTGTCGCAAAAATTGAAAATAATCCATCAACAACTGAGTGGATTAAATTTTCCATATCCACTTCTGTAGTTTTCGCACGATTAAGAGCTGTAAAACGAAATGGTAAATAAAGGATAGTACAAGAGTAATAAATATCAAATGCGAAGACAATGTCAATCAATATGGTACGGAAAAAAATTGATATGCTTTGAAAATCCACACGCGATGCATGTCGCATAAATATAAGCTATTATGGGATACTTCCAGTGAATGGATGATACCATTTGACTTTATTTATCCCTATTATATAACCAGATTTATCGAAATCAACTTCTGATAAATATCCTACACATATGTCACAAACGAATAAAACCTAGAATTTCAAAAACAGTCTTAGTTCTTTTATGTGACATCGTAAGTAAATAATTCTGGCACTTGACTTTTAAAGGGCATTAAGACCCGATACATAAATATGACACAATAAGATTTACTTGAACTACAGTTCTGATAGCCTTGATCACATTAACGAACACTGCTGAACTGATCACCCTAACTTGATAATTGCAAATACGAGACATGATATCTTTTGAAGTGAGTTCAGAAGTTCATTTTATCCGCTTACGAATATAGCCTATAGGGATGGATACAGGCCAGTACTTACCATCAGCCTACATTTACGTGCTGATCATCTACGGAATTTAATAAAGTGTAAGAAGTGGTATCGCTCCAAGCCACGATAATGTAAGTCATCTTTCTCTACATCCTATCAGGATAGTTTGTATAACCTTACAATGAAAACATTTTAAGTATTTTTTGGACATTTCCAAGGGCTCATAAGAACAATAATAAGGAAGGAAAAACTGACAACTATGCACAATTTTGATTGCTTGCATCAGTCTGATCGGTTAATGAGTGACTCTACGTTGGCCATATTTAAAAGGTGATATTTTCAATACGCAGATCACAATAATACTAGGGTATATGTAATATTGGCATCAAAATTGACTTCAAGATAGCCGCTAGCAAACTGGGTGTATACGCATATTTTACCAAACTTAATGTGCTACTTACACACAAAAGATTCAACTAAGATTGTCTGGATCTAAGCTACACATCAACTAACAAATGAATAAATCACGTATAAAATTGAGAATCAGAAGGTAATTATTCATTATACAGTAATGACCGTCATATCGAATAAATGTACAGTGAACACAAAGCAAATACGTCAACTAATTTATATAGAACCAATATGTTACATATGAGATAATAAACTCACCATAAAAGGAAGAAGGACCATCAATGGGTGAGCTAAGAGTCAATAAATCATCCTCCAAACAAATAAAATTTGTATACTGATCGAAAACTTTTGAAATTTGATGAACACAGTTTTCAGATAATGCTGTTTGAGCTATTTCTTCAAGGTATTCGCGTGATATTGGACTGATAAAATTCAAGTAATACGAATCATATCTACCTGCTTCAAAATCCTTTGAACAATAAGTCTTAAATATAAAATCATACCAACCTTGCATATAGCATTAATATTATCTTTGGAAGGGTAAACGAAATAAACAGCGGGAACATCTGGGATCTGTTCACGTGGCGAGTGTAACATTCTGACAAGTATAATTATTTATATTCAGTATTATCACTTACAAATGTAATGTGACACCAAGCATACGTAAATCCTTGACTGTTAATAACGGTGAGATGATATCTCTTCCCAGTTGATCGTATATCAAGATCTATAATAATATAAAAGAGTCTAGAGCAATTACGAAGGCTTACTTTCCATTGCGGTCCGTCCGAAGAATTTGGAGGGGCGTTTAGATTGAGCATGCATTTTAATGCCTCTAAATAGTCAAAAGGAAAGTTTTTGCAATTCATTAGTAATTTAAACAGAACAAGACGAAAAAAACATCTGTTGAATGCGAATTTTGTGTATAAAAATACAGTGACTGGAATAGACAAAAACCAAACATGACACCCAGGTTTGGAATTGATTAATTTATGAATGATCTTTCAAATACGTACTGTACAGTTGCTAGTGTTTCGAACGAGTCTTAATAACGTTTATTTTAGTGTTAATGTCTCGTAATTGCCACGATAATATAATAACGAAGTTAAGCTCTAAAAGGAATCGCAATAATTCAGCACCCTGCATCACTTTGATCACCGTACTAGTTATCAGTCCAGTAAAATAAAGCGTCTTTATAGACGTAAGCCTTTCCTCTATAGCGATAACACAAAGAAATAAAATATGCAAAAGTACTAATATTATACACCACAGGTTTCTCCAGCTTGATAAAGTATAATGAAAACTGAACAACTGAACAGCGACATATAATTAATGTATTCAATTGACCACAATGTCCACTGCTAAGCGGTTGACTGAATTTAGTGTTTTGTATGTGTGCATCTGAGATTTTAGAAAAGTTACCAGATGAGAATGATATCAGTCAGCTACAACGTAGGACCAGGCAGATGTATGCATCGGTCCAAGTTACCACACCTCATAAGCACAACAAGATCAACACCGAATTCATAAAGCAGTTACTTCAATGGTAGTGATATCTAGATGAAAGATTGCATAAAAGGATATGATACAGGAAGAAAGAATTAGTTGGTAGAAATAAGGGCATACAAAGTTTTAATCTCAAGGTTTAAAGGAAGACAAAGAGTACATACACCTACGCCATTGTGATCGATTCTGAGTCATGTCACATAAAGTCACCAATCACTCGTTACGATAGTCGTGCGGACCCCGATCAAGTAGCCTAAATCTACCAACATGGCTCAGACCAGAAGTTAGTGACTTCAGGCACTGATACACGTTTTGGTTTGGCCGCCCCTAACTTTTTGCCAACTACCCCAACACTAGTCAGCATTGCGCATCGTGGTTTTCGGTGTTCAGGCAAATATAAATCTCACCTGTGATGACTTCTCTATACTCAGCGTCCAATTTATGTCAAACCATTCGTTATAACATTGACAAACATTCGCATAAATTATTTTCCAATCGAGTTAAATTATCAAAGAAAATATATAACTGACACAGTCACAGAATTTTTAATCTACGATGTCTAATTGAAAAACATGGTTTCAGAAAAGGTTTATCTTTCACAACAAACCTCCTTATAGCAAGGAGGCAATGGATAAAGGCTCTAGAGAATGAAGAATCAGCGGATTTTTTCTACACAGACTAAAGCAACGCATTTAACAGTGACAACAAATAGACTGCTATCGAAGCTGAAAATTCTTGGAATTGTCGGACCCCTCATAAAATGGCTTGAGGATTTCCTAGTATGTCGTAGATTGAAAGTAAGAGTAAATTCTATGTGTTCCATCTGGAGACTAGTACTTAGTGAATTACTTCAAGATTCTGTCCTAGGCTTTTTACTTTTTATACTGTATGTAAATGAGCTCCCAAGTATAGTTGAATCCCCAATGTTACTAAATATTTGGCTAGAAATAACAAGAGGCAAATTTATGTGCATTTCAGACAGACTTAAATATCGTGATTAGCTGGTCTAAAGAGAGACTGGTGCGTATCAACGCGGCAAAGTGCGTCTACAAGCACTTTGGGGATATAAAATTTAATAGGTACAATAAAGGGAAGTACCTGTAGCCGTGGCCCGGTTTTACAAGGATTTTAAGGTGACAATGAGTCGTCAGCTTATGACCACGACCCATTGCCTGGAGATTGTAACTAGGGAATTTAGAACCCTATGGGCTTTAAGACGGACATTCACAAAGTTGAAAACTACCATGTTCACTACAGTATATGCAACTTTAGCGAGAGCTAAATTTGAAAAATGCGTTCAGGCTACAAGCTTCCGTTTAAAAGGTAACTCGGATACCGTGGAAAAAGTACAGAGGGCAGCAACTCGTGCAACTCCAGAGTTTACTATACAAGGAGCGGTTTGAAAAGCTAGACGTCTTTACTCTACCCTACCGCAGATTAAGAGGTGATCTGATTTTCATGTACAAAATACTAAGAACTGATTTTAGACTTGATATATCTTCCCATTTTTCTCTCACTAGATCGGGACATTGCGGGCGAGTAGAAAAGCCCGGAACGGACAGAATACCCGTGGCATACATGTTTCCACCTTCATCGATACTTCGAGACGATTACTCGAGACGGTGATGTACACACCTTCAAGTGCCTTATTTTAGAGAAGAACAAAAACTCAGAGAAGCATACTAGAGAAGGAATCACAGAGGTCGTAAGTAATCTCTCTTTACTACAAGAATTTGAATGCCCAATCAGTCTTCAGTAATAAGGATAGTAGGTTGATGAACCTGTGTTAATCCTGACACATTGCTTTCCAGCGAAGGTCCAGCTTTTCCTTGAAAGTATTCACTGATGGGGCTGATACCACTTGTTCGGGTAAGGCGTTCCAATGATTGACTACTCGATGAGAAAAACGGGATCCCACTTTAAGTTTATTAGATCGTGGTTTATGAACCTTCTTGCTATGACCTCGGAGATTATTAGTGCTGGAGGGAGCAAAAAGATAAGACATATTAACACCCAAATCAATGATTATTACTGCCTGAAAGATCCTTTACAACTGGACAAATGCTGAATATTAGAAGTCAACTAGCAGAGGGTTGTACAGAAGCCAAATAAGCAATTATTTATAGAACTAAATAAGCACCGTGAATACAGTAGCTATCTTTATATCATATACAAACAAATCTATAACATTTCCCTCGAAATCAAGCATGATGGGATGGATGGAAGATTTAAAACTAAGGGAAACAAATAGATTAATTAAATTTATGGTTATCGCGAAACAAACAACGTAAGATAACATGTAAAATAAAATTATATCAGAACTTGCCGATTTGGCGTGCTTTTGTAGTTCCCGCCATAAAAGTTTGTGCATCAATTCGTGTTACCGTAATAAATACGCACTTATCCGAAATTTTCTCGACTAACACTATATTTTTATTTCTATTATTTCTTTGTTAGTTTGTTTCAAGGTGTTTTGATGGCGGAATTTAAACTTTGTCTGTACATCTTCAATCTGCATTCTGTTTTCCAATGACTGATAACCTGCGAACTATTAAATGTGTTGTAGTTGGCGATGGAGCCGTTGGGAAAACGTGTTTACTTATATCATACACCACAAACAAATTTCCGATGGATTATGTTCCGACTGTAAGATCACTGGTTATATTGCTATAATACCTACAGGTGTTCGATAACTATGCTGTAACTGTTATGGTTGGAGGGGAACCGTACACTTTGGGACTTTTTGACACAGCTGGTCAAGAAGATTATGACCGTTTGAGGCCCCTGAGTTATCCTCAAACGGATGTTTACCTTATTTGCTTTTCTGTGGTCAACTCCACCTCTTTCGTGAACGTCGAGGAAAAGGTAAAACCACAGTCTTATTTTTAATTTTAATATCACTGCTTGCTTATTGTCTTTACATTTTGATTCGCTTTAATTATCAGTCATTGATACGCGGAAGTATCCTGTGATTTAATTAGGATTTACTGTTTGACATTAGGGTGAGGAAATATAATTAGGGTTTTCGTCGCAACCTGATATCAGCTATAACGCCAAAATGATATGTGCTCCCATGGATGAAGGAATTTCACATCGAATTTCAAGACCCGCTATCTTAGATCTGGTTGATTCGTCCATAAATTATAGTTAAACCGTAATTACACAAATTAATGTCAGGGATTTCAAGAAAAATCCACCCACACACTTTTCAGGAAGTTCGCTTGTTAGTAGTTCTTCCGTCCGGTCGTATGCGCACAATCCTTCTGAACTATATGTTTTAGTCACCTTTGTTGTCTCACTATTTCACTCTTCGTATTCTACTCCGACATTACCATTCAGTCGATCAGCAAAGTTTTAATGATAAACCATTTTTGTTCTATAAAGCCGCAACCAGGAGTTTCATGATTCTTTGATGCTTCTCAATATTCCTGATTATGTAGCCTGAGAGTCTTTATTTTGACACCATCTTTTGTTCCAAAAGGTGTTGGAACGGAATTTAAGTCTGCAACTTAGTATTCGGATATGAGTGCGTTAACTGTTATGTAGAGCTGTATTATATCCCTAGCTTCCAGACTCTCAATGATCATAAAATTCGAAGCTTGCTCATATACTTCTTTTCTGATGCGGAACAAGTCAAACGTAAGGTTGTTTCCTGCTCAAACATAAATAGCGATTGTCTCGGTTTACCATGGTCTACTTGTCTTTATTCGACTATCATTCTCCCTTATAAGACTTTTATCTGTGTTTACCTACCATTCGACTGACCGTAGTAACGATATCAGTCCAGTTTTTTTCTCATTTTTTAAGGCTATTACTTAAGTTATCGGTTCAACGTCCTAAAAGAAAGTTATACATACATTGATTTAAAGCGCTTACTGAATAATTGGAGAGAAAAACTGACTGCAAGTGCTTGTATTCGCCTTTGGGCTACAATTGTATGAGTACTGGTGAGACTAAAGTGTTGATTGGGCTTTTACAGCTAAGTCCGTTAATGACTTAGGCCTGTTACTCCTCGTGAAGGAGCATAGGCTGCTCACCAGCATTCTCCACCCAACACTGTCCCGGGCAATCCTTTCCAGTTGTTATTCATCCTTTCCATACCTGCTTCTATTTCCCGACGTAATGTGTTTTTAGCCTTCCTCTTTTCCACTTCCCTTCGGGATTCCAAGTTAGCACTTGTCCCGTGATGCAGTTTGGTGATTTCCGTAATCTATGTCCTATCCATTTCCATAGTCTTTTCCTAGTTTCCTCTTCAACTGGAAGCTGGTTTGTTCTCTCCTCCAATAGGCTGTTACGGATGGTATCCGGCCAATCGATGTTGAGTATCTTGCGAAGAAAACTATTTATAAATACTTCTACCTTCTTGATGATGGTTGTAGTAGTCCTCCAAGTACCAAGTGTCTTGACGTTCGTATGGAAGATCCTGACTTTGATACTGGTTGACAGTTGTTTTGAGTCCCAATAGTGAACCTCAAAATTTATCTCTCACTACGACTATCATCAACTTCGCACACTTAATGGTTCATTCATGTACAAGTAGTGCTTCAAAGAAGTTAATATGATGACTTTCTGTTATATCAGTACTAAAATACCATTCATCTGAGTGTTGATGTAAGCAGTGGATTGCTGTACATTAGAATGGCAACCAAATCAATAATTTTATGCAAATAATGCATTAAGATAAATTTCACATTGGTAATACGAATACTTACGATTCCATACGGACACCACATTTTGAATATGTTTGAACTATCTGGCTATTTATCAAGCACCCACTGATCTGTTCTTCGTAGAATCCGTTTATGGCGCATATATATTTGGTGCCCTCTTGTACCAATATTTATGTGTTCAAATAAATAAAATAGGATCCGTTTGTTGATTCTTTTAGTAAGTACATCTACTTACGTCTTTCAGTCCTCGCGGTGCAGGGGCCACCGACCAGGATTCTCTGTCCTGGATTCGTTTTTAGTTCTTGTCAAGTGCTACTCATTTCTTTATATCTGTCTCTAATTCTCATCGCAATGTGTTGTCTGATTTCCCTCTCTTCCTTTTCCCTTTAGGATTCCATGTTGGGGCTTGCTTTGTGATGCAGTTTAATGATTTCCCCAATGTGTTTTATTCATCTTTATTTATTCTTTGATTCTCTCTTTATCTGGAAGTTGATTTACTCTCTAACAGTAGGTTATTATTGGTAGTGCTTGACCAACAGATCTGGAGTATCGTGCGTAGACAGCCGTTTTTTTACCTTTAGATTTTTGATTGTGGTTGTAGCAGTTCTTCAAGTTTAAGCTCTGTACAATAGGACCACTTTGACTTTTGCGTTAAAAATTCTGGGTATGGTGTTGGCTGATAGTTACTTCGAGTTCCAGATGTTCTTCGACTGTAGAAATGCTGTCCTTGCTTCGCCAGTCTGTCCCTTCATATCTGCATCAGATCCTCACTGTGGACCGTTGCAGGAATTGTGTGTGGCGGTGACAATCTCAGGTACAGAAGTGTCGAAGGTTTTATAAGGTTCTATTATGCACTATGTCGCATGCTTTCTCATAGTCAAGCAACTTTTTTCCGTAGTAATGAGTCCCATTTAGTTGATTGTTTAACAATGATCCTTAGTGTTGCTATTTTACGGAATCCAGCTTGTTGATTCCGAAGTTGGGCTCTGCACCACTGTTGAGAACTTTGCCAGGTACTCAGAATAGTGCGGTGTCGTTCTCAAACTTTCTGAGATTTCCTTTCTTTAATATCTTAGTGAGTTATCGTTTTTTCCGTGTCGGTGCTTGTTCTTTCTCTCAAATTCTTCTGTAGAGAATGTAGAGCATCTTGGCCGTTACTTCTGTCAGTCTTTACTGCTTCATCTGGTGCTCTTGAATCTCGGAGATTGTTCGCCTTCTTCGTTCTTGACTGGTTGCTCTGGTCTACTATATTTCCCGCCTAGGTTGTTCGTTATATCATATAATTGCCTTATATTCCCTACTCTTGTAGTTTTGTCATTGTTAGGTCTTCCACATGTTTCTTATTAATATATGTAATTCTCCTCGTCACTCGCTTGTTTGCTTTTGTATATTCGGCCTGTGGGCTTGAAACCTGTTTTTGAGTGTGTTCTTTAATTCGCCGAGTTTTTCAGTATTTCAAAGAAAGGCTGTATTAAACTTTTGTAATGCTGTTTGTCCAGTGTTTTTTCCGCGTCACTTTCATCTTGGCCACCACTAAATGGTAATATAAAACTATTAGTACACTGCTGTGATGTAAAGTGGCTTGCACGTCGTATTTGTAGATTTCATTTTCCTTTTACCATACAAAGAGCGGGATGTCATCCATTAGGTCATCAGAATCGTTTGCATCAGGTACTTTGCTTATAGTGTTCTATTTTCATGCAAACTATCTTGTCTTAGTCTATATAAGCACTCTGTTTTTTATTCCCAGTGGGTCCCGGAAATAAGACATCACTCGCCCAAGGTTCCATTCCTTCTTGTTGGAACACAAATTGATCTTCGCGATGAAGGCGCTACAATAACCCGCTTACATAACGACAAAGCGAAAATGGTCAGTAGTGATCAGGGTAAAAAACTCGCCGAACGTTTAAAAGCCGTCAAGTATCAGGAGTGTTCAGCTCTTACCCAGGTCAGCTTTTGTTTTTCTAGTTTATCCATGCATTAGAGTTGTTTTTTTATTTGTGATGAATATCATGCGTTTCGTAAACAGTTTTGTGTTGATTGTTTGGTAGTTAACCATCAAATTTGAAAGCTAAAACGATGAGATACTTGAAAAAATAATTCCGCTGGTTGATTTCTGTTTACTTGTAGTCTAGTTCTAGCCTAGATGTGACTTTGTTGAACTGTTCTTAGATTTAAGTAGTCTTATTGTTCGTGAAATAACTAACTTCAGCGACTATCTTAACAACATTAGTCTGTTTACAACTCCTTTTGTTGGTTATCACATTTAACATGTAAAGTTTAGTTTTTATGTGTAAAATTTATAACACTAGACAGCTTTTTAGGCTAATAAAACAAACCGGAATCAAGAAGTCAGTTGTCAATCAGTCTCGGGAAAAGACGACACTTATCTGCTCTCAGCCCAGACGTTTAGAACGACGGGCGGAACACTTTAAGGAGCTGTTCAGCCAGCCTTCAGCTAATCTACAGTTACCCACCATTTTCAAACAACCTGAATGGAACATTGAAATAGCTTCCCCCCGACTGTAATTGAAGGTAAAAAAACTATAGCTAATCTGAAACGAAGAAGAGCAGTTGTTCCGGATGGATTGGCTCCAGAGGTCTTTAAGGATGGTGGTCGAGTTTTAACGGTAAGGTTAACTAATGTTTTAGCTAAAATATGAGAACTAGACGTAATCCCATCTGGTTGGTCGCAATCACTGATCGTCCTAATTTATAAGAAAGGATCAAAATCATCCAGTGATAACCATAGAAGAATTAGTTTAACTAATTTAGCATCTATAATACTAGTCTTAATTATTATCAGACGCCTAACAAAGACTCGTGAACTTCAAATGCTAGAAAATCAGGCTGGCTTCATACCTGGTCGTGGCTGCATCGACCACATATTCACCATTCGTCAGGTTCTAGAACACAGGCATACTTATCGGCGTCCGACAATAGTGGTCTTTCTTGACTTAAAAGCAGCATTTGACTCTGAATATCGAGAGGTCGTGTGTCAGTGTCTATCACTGAAAGTTGTACCTGAGAAGTACATAAACCTTGTGAAGGCTCTTTACTCGAACACTACCAGTCGAATCAGAGCCTATGGTGAACTGTCGCTTGATTTTGCAACGTCAAGTGGTGTCCGACAAGGCTGTCCAATATCATCATAGACCTACTGCTGGCAATAACTTTCTCATCATTTGAATTCTCAGGAATCGTTCTTCTTCCAGGAGGTCCACCTATTAACTTAGAATATACAGATGACATAATCCTGTTTGGTGAAGACGCTGGTAAAATGCAGTCTTTTGGTAGCGTTGAGAAACAATGCCAGAAGTTTTGATATGCGTTTCTCCCCCTCAAAATGCAAATTGTTTCTTCAAGACTGACCTGCGTCAACAACTCCACTTATCTTAGAAATCTGATCAGCTTCAATGGGTTTGTGTCTGACAAAATCTCTGCATGGATTCAGAAAGCTCGTTTGGCTTTTGCCAGCTTACGTCACCTATGGCGAAGGCGAGATATCCGTCTATTACTAAAATGACGAGTGCACTTCTCTGTAATTCGTTCTGTTTTACTGTACGGCCGCGAAACGTGGCCAATAAAAGTAGAGGATACTCGTACCGCCGTCTTCTTTGATTTTTTTCGTGACTCGCGCTCATGATGCTCTTGAAACCGTCTCTACAGTTGACTGACATTTACGCGCTTCTACTTGTCTTCTCTCCGGATCGTGACACTGTAGGATCCTTCCCACTTTGGGATCAGCTTCCCTGATCCTCTTCCCGCCGCTATGGTACCTTCCCGTTTTCTACACTTTAACAGGTTCCCCACTGCAAAAATCTGTTCCGCCTTCTTTGTGTCTGATATTTCTTTCTTTCCCATGTTCCTGATTGCCTCCCTTTTCTTAACCTTGTTGTCGTTCTCTTCTGCTGTTGTGACCAGGTCATATTGTGCATTAGATGTCGTGGCTATCTACAATACATAAGCAGAAAAGGTGACTTCTTGGTTGTTCTTTGTATGGAGGCTCGGTGCCCCAGCAAAATAACTGGTAACTCATTCTTCCAATTTCCTCCTCTAGAGGCTGACTATTTCATTAACGTTCGGTCGCTTCTTTTCATAAATTCGTTCGTCTGAGGATGATACGGTGTAGTTCGTATCCTTCTGATGCCAGACTGCTTTACATGGGTTTAAACTCGTCACTTTCAAAACAGGGACCTTGGTGGAGTAATATCATGACACGCTACAATATGCTGGATTAATACTTCGGTCACTGTAAATGGTTTCTTGGGTTCAAGCAGTTTGAGCGTCATCTGGTGGTCGTCTAGAATGTTTTTGACTCTGTTGGGCGGTCTCAGTCCTCGTAAACTTAGTGTTGCCCAACAACTTATATAAGGTCTCTGCTATTTCGCTGGAGCTCTTAACGTACCAATTGTAGAACGCCGTTTTTCCCAGGAACTGTCTCAATTTCCTTTTCGAATTAGGTACCGCAATGTTCTTTATGGTTAGAATTTTCTCACGCAGTGGTTTTATTTCTCCATTTTCCACTTCATGTCCCAACAACGTGACGCTTCTTTTCGTTATCTGTGACCTGTCCTTAATAATTCGAAAACCAAATCCTTCAGTTCGCTTTACGACCGCTTCCACATGCTTGACGTGATCTGTTTCTGTATGGCTGTACACAACTACATCGTCGCCATACACCTTGACGTTATCTAGATCCCTGAGCAACAGCGTCATTAATTTTCTGAACGTAAACGGTGCACTCGCCAACTCGAATGGCATTTATTTATATTGATACTGTTTATCACGTACAGCAAATGCTGTCTTGTTTCGATCGCTCTCTTTTATAGGCAGTTGCTAATAACCTGACCGCAAATCCAACACTGTAGCATGCTGAAGCCTTCTCCTTCACCACAATATTTCCTCCTACAGCTAACAATGCAACTTTACCCCTTACCTCGAGTTGCTGCGTTCGGTTTTAGGGAACTTCAACCAACCTCTTTGGCATGGTAGGACCTTAAGTAACAAGTTTTCCAGCCAATATAGCTCAGTTGAATCATCACGACAGGCAAGCCCGACTACCATATCAAGGTAGCAGCTACGGTTGGGATTCATGTTATCATTTCTGAAGTATTGAGGATAACCAATGATAGGTTCATTCTTAGATAACATCGTATGAGTTGTGCATATTGATGTTTAACACTGACTGAAAGTCAACAGTGTATTATATGTAGCATGTTTGGTATGTCAGATCTCTAGAAATAACTTGATAAAATTTCTATTTTTGTAACCTAATTGTGAAGATTTAAATTTCTCGATTTCGTTCCATGAGCATTCATTAGTAGCTTCAGTTTGTTTCCAACCTGAAGGATCCTAAACGCCATTGATTTGCCTCTTTTAGTTCTCTATTTCGTGATACTTCGCAAGGAGATTTTTGTATTGTACATATTACGCGTGGGTTGAGTGCTTGTTATTCGTTTTTCCGGGCCTCTAGTGGGATTGAAATATTCACCCTACTGATCGTGGCCTTTTTCCTCTAGTTTGCTGGGGTTAGGCGCAGAGGAATATCTTGGCTTCATTTTGTTATTACGTTGCTATTTTACGTTCTTTCCTCGGTACTAAGGTGATATAATATCTCAAACATTGTAGAGCAGTAGAGTGGTGAGTAATTGGATTATAATCTGTTGCTTGATTGTACTTCTTTGTAAAGGTCAGTTTGTATGACTCAGTTACACTTATTACTTAGTGTTCTTAAATTCACTCGACTAGTCCTGAAAATCAGAACACGGTTGAGCAGGAACTAAATTATGTTCCGAACAAATCACGTCATCGAATGAAAGTAAGGAGAATTCTTTGCTTTTAAATCAAGTTGCATGGGAGTAACAATCACATTGTGAAAACTCGGCAAACTTTTCATTGATACTCAAGAATATTCTAGGATCTTCCGGTGATGACTGACTAAAAATGTCCCAACATCACCCTGGATGGAACATGCATTAATCCAATCTATATCTTGCTAACATTTTTACTGTAGGTTCCAATAGTTCGGTCTGTAGCGAAGAGCTGTTGTTCTCGTCAACGTAATTACTTACCGTTACTGATCTCTGCATAATTACTACCGTTGTATTGAACAGAACATGGGTGGGGACAACCGAATTTATTTGACACAAAATTACAGAGCATCTCAATAAAATCTGAGAACTATATATTAAATCGTTAATTTGCAAAATGTCCACCAATTGTCTCAAAATGCCTCAGACTTCATTGTTCTTACATTTTCATACAAATTGCATTCCATTCCCGCTCTTGCCTTCTTGATCTTCCCTCATCTTCTGCTGCCAGACATTGCATTCCTGACTCTCATAATATACTACGTATATCAATATAAGTAGCACGCACAACACCGTCTCTATACGATACGTATTTCACTTTTTTCATCATCATTGTTAGCTGAACAGTCAGCGACTTGATCCAAATTAAAATCTTCGGGTTCCTGATGGGCTATTCATCAATATAGACTTACAGCATTAATTTCTGACTAAATTTCCTCGTCATTAAAACAAGTTCTACTCAAACAGCCATACTATCAACTAAAAATATATTTATTTGCCCCTAATTTACATACGTGTTATTGATTTTTTTCATTTTCCTAATTGTTACAAACATCAAATATATTCTTTCTTTGTACAGAAGGGTTTGAAAGATGTGTTCGACGAAGCTATCCTTGCTGCTCTGCGACCTCCAACAGACCGTAAAAACAAACGTTGTTGTCTACTGTGAAAACTGAGTCCTTTTGCCAATCCGTCCTTTTATTATTGATTTAACTTGTTATGGAAAAATCAGCAAAATTTTTGGTCGGATTCCTTACAAACCTTACTATTATCTCCATATTATTCTTATCATCATTAATTTTTATTGATACTATTGCTAATACAACTCACAGACTCAATTATGTGTTCAACAGCAATGTGAGTACTTTGACAAATGTGGCCTTGTTCCTTTATTTTCTCCCCTTTCTTTTATCTCTACAGAACGGTGATCTTGCTGTTAATTTTAAAAATTCTACTGTTAATGCTATTTGTTAAATAAATCAATGCATCTTCAGCGACTTTCTTTCCCTATCGTTTGGTTGGCTGATTATTTGTTTCCAAGTAGTGTTTAATAGTCAGTAATGACATTATATAAATTCATTCTGGCACTAATGTTCCAATAACTTCTGTTGGCTTATTGTCGTCACATCAACTGTTGTATGGTGTGTGTCTGGAAGAAGACATGCTTACGGAGATAAGTCAGTTTGTTCAATCAAAAATTAAAAGATGAAAAGCCCTACAGAATAAGGACAACATTAGGTCACCATTCAGAATGTACTATTCTTACATTTGCAACGATGAGCAGTGGGTTTGTGATTAAGTTAAAATATCAAATATTGAGCACTTCAAATCCAACTACTTAGTATGTGTTGGAGCAATGTGTAACTAGCATTCATTCTTCAATGCCTTTTTAAGTGAGCGACCCCAGGATTTGATGTATCAACTGACTCCGCTATTATTAAACATATAATGATATGTAGTCTCCTCAAGATAGTAGAAGTATTAGCTATGTCAGCGGTCGTTAAACACTCGCGTATATTAATGGTATCCTTGTGTGGCGCATATATATCTGATGCCCCTCTTGTACCAATATTTATGTTCAAATAAATAAATAAATGGTATCCTAACTATATATATATATATATATATATATATATATATATATATATATATATATATATATATATATATATATATATATATATATATATATATATATATATATATATATATATATGGGTGTCAGTATCAACGCACTTATTTGTTGTGTCGGCTAGAGAAAATAGTGATTGATTGTTCTCTTGGACAGACTGGTAGATAGTCTAACAAGTATTAGATGTGCCATATATATTCCTCTACCCCTTGTACTGAACCGATTGTTAACTGATGACTAATACATGTTCTAGTTAGACGAACCGCATGTTCTTGATTTGTGTCGAAGCTTTGTAGAATAGTGCGTGCTGACTATCTAGTATAAACCGAGTTAATTATAAATGCAAATAAATCATTCATTGTTCGTCCTAAGCAATTTAGTGTCCCGTTGGCGTAAAGAAGAAGCACGAGCGCTTTGAACCAACGGTATATCGTCAATGTAAATGTTGAATTTGTTTTTTAGAGAACAGCTTATTGTGTATATAAAATTTCGTGTCACAGCCTTGTTTCTTGTACACAATGAATAACCCATTTTATTTGTATTTGTGCTACTCAGTAAAACTTATAATTGACATAAGTCTACACCACTTATGAGCAAAATAATTCAGTTGTAAGGGGAAAAAGTAGTGAGAAATAATCTTATAGGTTTGAAAATTTCATATTCACTTCTATTCAGTGTCTGAACCCCTTACTTACTTTATTTTGGGTAATATTGTATATTTTCATATAAAAATTATAGTTCAACGTGAGTTTCATAAATCTGTACTCGGTTACGAGGTTACACTGATAAATTGCAATAACATAAAGGCTTTAATATTTTTCTCTTTATAAAATGTAATATATCAATATTAAAATCAGTATTTTGTGTGCCACTTATTTAATTATGTTAAATTACTAATGCAAAACAGTGCTATCGATCTTATTTGACAAAAGCGTTATTGTTGTTCACTTATGTGCATATTGTTCACGTAAACAAATAGAGTGTTAGACACTATTTGTTATTTCAATAGACTTTTTATCTGAGGTGAATTATTTAATTAATTTACTTAAATTAAAGTACCATAGATATATTGGCATAAACTTTTACATTGCTAACCTTTTTTCAATAGATTTTTCTAAGATATTTAGTACAAATCGTTAAATTTGCGGTGAACTGAATTTCAACTAGTGGTGCTTAGGTTTGAAACTTGTCGACAAACTTTAGAAACGTGGCTCAGAATTGTTGTCAATGCTCTAGGTTCATCCACTCTCCTTTTTTCATTGAAACTTGAGTCCCGAAGTCTCCTTATACGGATGCATGTGTTCCAGATTCTACGTTGCACGTGATTGACTGGCTAAAGTTCGAAATTCATTTCATTTTCTTTCTAGCGTCGTAATAATGTCCTAAATCTTAGTACTATATATACTTGGTTACTGGAATGCATTTCAGAGCCACAAACAAGAACTTCTGTTCTACTTATATTCCTTGGTTTTTGGCATTTCTCAGAGGAATTCACAATCCTGACATTTGAGTCTAGTGTCTTTAATGCCACAAAAATAAACTTTGCTACTTACATTGCTCAGTCACACCTAACTTCCTACGTGTAAATACCTGTACCAGTCGTTGAAATATTTTCAGTTTAATCCTAAAATTAATTAGTTTGTTGTTGTATTTATTATTCATACGGAACAAGTTGTCCCATTCCAGCTGTCTAGTGTCTACCCTTAGTGTTTAAGATTCGTTTTTAAATATGTTTTTACTTCTATTACATTGATTTACAGATGCTCACAGGGAGATAACATCTTAAGATTCAAGATAATTGGTAGGAGTCGTGCGATTCAACTATACTTCCACCAATTAACGAGATATGCCACAAATATCTGATGTTAAATATTTATTAACTACATTTGTTTCATATACCTTAGATTCTTGCACTAAAGTTGTTTCATAAGTTCTGCTGGAAAAATCACCACTTTCACTTTGGAAACAGCTCTCAAATATTAAACAGATGTAGATGACGGAATACCTGTCTATCTTATTATAGACATATCTGTGTTAAAGAAACCATAAACACGTTTGCATAGTCTCATTAAATGACAGAAAAATTCTAATTTTATTTTAATGTTGCAATGGGCTTTTTTCGATTTTCGAACTAAGCTTCTGAATCAGGATTTTTCGACGTTTAATACAACAATTATTGATATGATAGTTTTAAGCTCTCTTATGAATTATTGGAATAAATATCATACAATCTAGAATTGTGTGTTATCTCCACGCGATCTGTAATCTTCTTAGATGTAAATTAAAGTTAATCGACTCAATAACATCTCAAGTCATACTATCTGTTATGATGTTTATGGACTCCTGGAATTCCTAGTGAACAGTACTCATCAATAATTTATTTATTATTATCTAAACACATAAATATTGGTACAAGGAGGACCAAATACATATACGCCACAATTCGTCATTTTATTCGTGTAAGGGTTAGAATATTGCTCGGGCTCCAAAACCGAAGCAGGTGGTTTTCATAGGCAACCACTCCCCGAGCATTTGACCTAGAGGTCTATCCACAAGGCGGTGGAGAAACGTTACGAGATGCAGTCCCATTGTAGCAGGTGACCAACGATTGGTTCATACGCCATTTGGTCCTTCGGGATACTGGAGCCCACGTGCACCACTGATTTGGAATCAGGGTTTTCCAACTCTTCGAGTTGAACTCTCCGTGTCCACCGACCCGGTTAAAGTGCTGAACATTCGCTTCTCTTGCTTTCAATTTCGTAAACAACACACCAAGAGAAGTCAGTGAGTATAACTTTCTTGATGGTGGCTATGTATGTGTAGCCATGTGAGAGCATTTTGGGATGGAGAGTGGACTCTCCCCACCTTCGACCGTACCATAGCATTTTGTTGCGTTCATCAATGAACTAAATTCGCTTCTTTGTTGAATTCTAACTTAGTGAACTTCTTTGGCCGTCTCATTTACTTTGCACGTAGTTATAGATAGAAATACTAGCGCTAAGTTGATTCACAGAGTACAAATCTACTTCAGTACTTATTAACAAAATGAATGGATTTAGCTTAATGTTAATACTTTTTATTTAAATAAATGCGAAGCCATGGCTTAAAAATTGTTGTTGATTTTTTGGAATTTTAGTGCATATTGCCGGCTCATAGTGGTGTGACCTGCTTATTGATTATATTCCGTGTTGTGCATTTGTGAATGGGTAATCAATAATGTGACTTAAATAGTGAGAATTTGAACAAAATCATATGTCGAGTAGTGACACACTTAATTGTGATTTATTTGTACAAATCAATAGTATTTGAATGTGCCGGTTACCTATCACATCTCATACTATGCTGTAAAACCCACACATGATTGTTTAATGAAAATATAGGAATTGTTGTGTTTGGACTATTACATTTGTAAAATGCCTTTATTAAGATTCCCGACCAACTCCATTTTTTTATAGTATTAGGAAAAAATACTACCAATATCAAAGAATAATTTCAATTGTTACAGTTAGAAAACTGTTTCCAATGCTGTTCGTAGTGGAGTGACAAAATCACCAATTGGACTTCGCGCAGCACCGATAAACTTGAATCAACGGTAAGCTCTTACGAGTTCTCGACTCGGTAGCTTCTCTTCCTGCTCTTCCCATTGAGCCCAGAACTCAATAATCAGCCTCCATTGTATGAATACTATATTTCAGTTTATATGCGAGCAGACGAGACCTCATCAAACCATAACATAGAAAATGACAATTATACAACTTGAAGTCTAAGGTTGTTGTGAGTTGTGGGAGACTGTAACTAATGGATTGTGAATAAACTGAGCATGTTTAGTAGTATAATGGTAGTTAATATGGTCAAACTAAAACTAATGATAAAGGGGATATAAATATATGTAATCTAGTTACTTAATAATTATCCTATAAGAATATATATGTCATAATATTTCATAAATAATTCCTGGCAGTTACCATTCATTTAGTCTTCGTTAGGGTATAACACCTTACTTGTAGCTTGGTTGAAAACATTTTCCAAAGGTGACTGTCTACTAATCCTACTGGAAATCTTGCTCAGTTATACAGCTAGTTCAGTTAAAAAATATTGGTGATTGAAACAGTGAATATAGAATACTGCTATCAATTTCTGCTTCATTGTATTTCGAAAAAAATAGTTATCGATAATCAGTAAATTTTGGCAGATACAGTGTTGCTTTTCTTGTCGAATCGAAACATCGATTGGAACCTCTAATAACGCCAATCGAAAGTGGGATGCCTGACAGCAGAAGGTCGAGAAGATAAAATAGAAGAAAACGGAAACGGAGAGCAATTGGTATGGAAATGAAGTAATAACAAAGTCTGATATATTTT